GTGCCGACACTTGTTTCCCTCCTTTTGAATTACGGCTGTTCTAAGTAGGTGTGAAATGGTGTATCACCGCTGTTTTAATTTGCACTTCTCTTACCGTACATGGTATTGAAGAGTATTCATGTGGTTTTTTATTATACCTCCTCTGGGTAAATGTCTATTTAAGTCATCTGTGGCAAAAGTAGGGATCTTTGTGTAGTTCATTATCTTACAGCACACACTTTCAAGCTTCCACCACTCAGTGTATTAGTTACAGTGTTTTAAATTATGGTCTCTGTCATATTGAGGAATTTCTTGTTGTTTTTTTTTTTTTTTTGACAGGTAGAGTTATAGACAGTGAGAGAGAGAGAGAGAGACAAAGAGAAAGGTCTTCCTTCCATTGGTTCACCCCCCAAATGGCCGCTATGGCTGGCGCTGTGCCAATCCGAAGCCAGGAGCCAGGTGCTTCCTCCTGGTCTCCCATGTGGGTACACGACACTTGGGCCATCCTCCACTGCCTTCCCGGGCCACAGCAGAGAGCTGGATTGGAAGAGGAGCAACCAGGACTAGAACCTGGCAACCATATGGCCACAGGCAGAGGATTAGCCAAGTGAGCCACAGTGCCGGCCAGGAATTTCTTGTTCCCAGTTTATTGAGTTTTTTTTTTTTTTTTTTTTTAGTCACTAACTACACTGGATTTTATCGAGTGGTTTTTTTGGCTTCTATTGAGATGATGTCTGCTTTTTTTGGTCTACATTCCATTATATTGATTGATTTTCAAATGCCAAACTATCCTTGTATTGTTTATGGTTTGAATATCATTTGATCATGATGAATAATCATTTTGATATGCTGCTCAATTCAGCTTGTGAGCATTTTGTTGACCCTTTTGGCCTCAATATTCACAAGGTATTTTGTTCTGTGGTTTTTAGTTGTTTATTGCATGCATCTTGTTCCCGGCGTGTACGTGGACATAAAGGCAACTTAAAAATGATGTGAAAGCTTTGTGCAGTTTTTACTAGCCCCTTGTCCCATCACTTCCAGCTTGGAGACTTGAATCAACATCAGTGGCGGAAGATTGTGTTAGGAAGTTTAGCTGGGGCTGGCGTTGTGTCACAGAGGGCTAAGCTGCTGCCTACAATGCTGGTATCCCATATGGGCACCAGTTTGAGACCTGGTTGCTTCAGTTCCAATTCAGCTCCCTGCTAATGCACCTGGGAAAGCAGTGGAAGATGGCCCAAGTCCCTGGGCCTCTGCACCCATGTGGGAGACCTGGATAAACCTCCTGGCTCCTGGCTTCAGCCTGGCCCAGCCCCAGCTGTTGTTGTCATCTGCGAGTGAACTAGCGGATGGACGTTCTCTCTTTGTGTGTCTCTTCCTCTCTCTGCCTTTCAAAGAAAATAAGTAATTCTTAAAAAAACAAAACAAAACAAAACACAAATTTAGTTGATTACTCAAAGCCAGGGAGGGAAAAATACATGTCTACTACATGTCTTATGCACAATCTTTGGCCACCTGTAGCTGCATTATTCTTCAGTCGCTGTATGATGATTTCAATCAGTGCTCACCACTGAGTGGTTTTCAGGATGATGTAACAGAGAAGAACACCACCTTGCTCAGGTGGCCCCCCGAAAGGTTAAATACAATAATTCTTAGTGGGGTCTGCTCCATTGTCTCTGGAATCAGGGATTAGGATTCCATGCTGGGAATATAGATGGCTGTATCTTTAAATCTCCAAGCTGGAGTCCGGCGCCGCAGCTCAATAGGCTAATCCTCCGCCTTGCGGCGCCAGCACACTGGGTTCTAGTCCCGGTTGGGGCGCCGGATTCTGTCCCGGTTGCCCCTCTTCCAGGCCAGCTCTCTGTTGTGGCCAGGGAGTGCAGTGGAGGATGGCCCAAGTGCTTGGGCCCTGCACCCCATGGGAGACCAGGAGAAGCACCTGGCTCCTGCCTTCAGATCAGCGCAGTGCGCCAGCCGTGGTGGCCATTGGAGGGTGAACCAACGGCAAAGGAAGACCTTTCTCTCTGTCTCTCTCTCTCACTGTCCACTCTGCCTGTCAGAAAAAAAAAATCTCCAAGCTGGAAATGATGGGACAAGGGACAAGAATTCCAGGCACTTTCACATTGTGTTTAAGTTTCCTTTATGCCAATTCAGCACTCTCTTGGTTTCTGTAAGCTTTTGGTCATTTTTCAGACTTCTGAAAAAGTGGTTGGTTCAGGTACTCTTTTAGCTATTTTTTCCAATGTTTCTGTGAAGGGGTGGGAGCCTGGAGCTTCTCCTGACTCCACCATTTTTCTGATGTCTCTACAATAGCGCCTCGTCAACTCCCCTGCTCTGAGAGTCTGACTTACTCTCAATTCAGATGTCCTCTATCCAGCATCACAAAAATAAAACTTGTGGTATTTATTTTTAACCCGCTTCTCTGTTCTGAGTTGCCTGCCTATGAACCACTACAACCCTACCAAATAAGTGGGAAAATATAAAGCTTCCTGGCTTGAGCGACTGAGAAAATTATCTGTGTTCTAGTGTTGAAGTAGCAGTAGTCAGTCATCAAGTTCTGCAGATGCAATGCAGCCATCCATGGATGATCTGATATTCCCACATACCATGAAGCTCACTGCTTTGAGATATATATATTACAGGCAGAGTGGACAGTGAGAGAAAGAGACAGAGAGAAAGGTCTTCCTTTTGCCGTTGGTTTAGCCTCCAATGGCCGCCGCGGCCAGTGCGCTGCGACCGGCGCACCACGCTGATCCGATGGCAGGAGCCAGGTGCTTCTCCTGGTCTCCCATGGGGTGCAGGGCCCAAGCACTTGGGCCATCCTCCACTGCACTCCCTGGCCACAGCAGAGAGCTGGCCTGGAAGAGGGGCAACCGGGACAGAATCCGGCGCCCCGACCGGGACTAGAACCCGGTGTGCCGGCGCCGCAAGGCGGAGGATTAGTCTAGTGAGCCGCGGCGCCGGCCTCACTGCTTTGATATTAACTCAGGCTCCTGACATCATTCTCTTTAAGGCAAGGCCTCTTTCCTGGATAGTTTGCCTCTCATTTTCCCTCTATTTCCTATTTGCATCTTCTCAAAGAATTCATATTTTTCCCTAGTCATAAACTCTTTCAGGACAAGAACTGTGTATATACAATCTTCCAGCAGTTTCCAGCATATAGCAAGTGTTGAATAAATGATTCTTGAATGTCTATAACAGATTCACAACATTAGCCCTGAGTGATATGACATAGCATACATGGTAAGAGAAACCAGTAAAAATATTTTTTCTACCTCTCTGCTCTCTTGTCTCAGATTTTGAAAAACCTGCCCAATGTTGTTAAAGTCTATTTTCATGATTCAAGGGCTACTCATGAAATGTATACCTTCCAATTCAGCACTGACTTACACACTAATTGGCATTTCCTTATGTCAATCATAATGCTCTCTTTGCTGCAAAACAGACAGGTATTTGCAGATGTTAGGAGAGACACTCATTGCTAATAGAAGCTCTACTCAGAGTGTTAGCTCCTACAGGTCCCACCCCTGCCAGTCGTTCCTCACTGTCATGCATAATAAAGCACTGTCTTGGGGTGTTGTATCTCTCAGTTTTTTTTTAACTCCATTACATTTAAATGTCTTGGAAGACAACAACATTTATTCATATCATTTTGTATTATTTAAGAGACCACAGTTGAGTAGACATACAATATGTATTTTGCCAAAATGGATGCTCCTAATTTATGTAGTCATATCTTGGTCTCCAACTGAGTCAAAATCATGACTCGTGGAATAAGATCTACTAAGCTAGGACTCACTGTCATTTTATGCATATAATAATATTTTGATCCAGTTTCCTTATACGGGGGGAGATCAGCGTCTAAACGGCAACATTAAGTAAACAAGGTGCTCCTGTCCCCTGAGTATGCTCTGGAAATGGATTATCAATTTCACCTATTCAGGAGTGGACAGCGCTCCAAACGAATAGTTGCTGTTACAGTCAAGTTCAAGTCAGCAACTGGAGCCATACTGCGGACAGCCATATGCTCGCCCTTTGGGGAAAAAAAGGCAGCAAGTTTCACAGGAAAAGACTGATTTTACACTTTGTCTCTCACATGGCCCATGCTGCTTAGTAAACAAGGCAGTTCAATGCCCATACATATTATATAGCTACCTCTACCAATAAGTACCTCTTTGCTAAGGAATAGAAATGAATTCCTTTTATTGTATGATTTTCAACATTCTGTTACCTGATATTATCCTACATTGCCACAGGTAGTTAATAGATTTCAAGTTTTCAAATACAGAAGAAATGTTAGGCAGCTGAATAAGACTTGGGCCATTCAAAGAGGAGTAATGGAGGGGAGTTGAGGGACTGCATGAGACTGTGTTATGGCAGATGACACAAACAGCTTGAGGATAAGACTCACAAATGCAAGGGTGCTGCACCTGCTCCCACTGTCTGCATTCCTGTAGCCTGGGTGCCGCTGCCTCAGCCTGGTTCCATGCAATTTGAATTCCCTAGACCATTGGCATCTATGAGGCTCAACTTTGAGGATGCAAGCCTGATATGAAACAGAATATTGGGGGCCGGTGCCCTGGTGCAGTAGGTTAATCCTCCGCCTGGGACGTCCGCATCCCATATGGGTGCCGGTTCTAGTCCTGGCTGCTCCTCTTCAGATCCATCTCTCTGCTATGGCCTGGGAAAGCAGTGGAAAATGGCCCAACTGCTTAGGCCCATGCACCCACATGGGAAACTGGGAAGAAGCACCTGGCTCCTGGCTTTGGATCGGTGCAGCTCCGGCCATTGCAGCCTTTTGGAGAGTGAATCAGCAGACAGAAGATCTTTCTCCATGTCTCTCCCTCTCACTGTCTGTAACTCTACCTCTCAAATAAGTAAATAAAATCTTTCTTAAAAAAAAAAAAAAGAAACAGAATATTGTGTCTGGCAGGAAATAAATTTTGACTGAAAAATATAAGAAAATTTTTATCTTTTCATGAGAGGTTTGCTCTACGCCCAGTTAACACAACCAGTAAAGAAAAAGCATCAAAGATAATATGTTCTTTATAGTATGTACTTTATTTCTCCTCGGGATTCTAAGGAACAAACTCTCCAAACACCCCATTAATGCTCTCCATTGCCTCAGAATCATTAGACGCTCCATGGACAGCATTTTTCAGCTTGCTTATGCCAAACTGGGCTCGGATGGAGTTCGGGGACAGTAACGTTGCTTCCTCTGGGTCTGTTGGACCCATCAATCGTCTCCAGTCCCCAATAGCATTCCACTTGGTCAAAACCATGACCAGAGATGGGCCCCTGCAAAGAACGACGCTTTTAGAAGGTGTGGGGCATTTACATTTGGATAGAGTGTATAGGCAGTTAAAGACAGGACGCCCCAGGTCTACCCAAATAGCTCCTCTTTTTCCTCTGTTCCTATCAGTGTGATTTTGTTTTCATTTTTCCCCATTTCAAGAGGTTTTGTGTTAGATGGGTGCTCTAGTTTAATTCTAGGAGTTGTTCTCCAATGGAGTAATTATTTTTGCTATTTTGGACTCCATTCATAAAGACATTTTCACTGACCAAGGACTTTCAGCTCATGGTCACCCCTCAGCTTCTAGCCCCTTCAGGTGTTGTGTCCATTGTAGAATACCACATTGATCAAGCCACCACATTCCCAGGATGGCCCACACAGAATGAGCGATCACTGGGAGAGTTTCAGGGCCATCTCAGCCCAGCATAGAACAATACAGATGGGCCAGTCTGCTTCTTGAGTGCTCCTTCTGCCACATCCTTCTTCCTCCCCTGCATTCCCCAGTGATGCTGAATGAATAGGATGGGTACTAAACTCTACCTGCCTTCCAGAGAATCTAACTGGCCATGGATTTGAAAGTGCATTTTCTGAGCCATCATGGAAGAGTTACTCAAGCTATATTTAATTACTGCTTACATACCATTCAATCTTTTGTTTGAACTTAAAAATGTTGCCTTTGTAGACTCAGTGACAAGGAAAAGGAAGATGTGCACTTAAACAGTAAATTTACTTTATCAAAGTCAATTAATAAGGTTTTGAAATGATTATGAACTCTATGTGAGAGGGAGTTATGGAAGGCAGCAATCAAGAGCACAGATTGCCTGAGCTCAGAGCCCATCTAAAAAGTAGTTTTGTGACTATGGACAAATTCCAGTCCCAGGTCTTGGATCATTTATAACCAAAATGGAAATTCTAGAAAAAATTACTTCATCCAGTTGTTATAATATTCCAGGGAAATGTAGTGTAAAGAGCTCGGCAGGAGACCTGAAATTAAATAAACACTCAATAAATGTTAGACTAATTCCTAGGGAGTGTTTGCAAAGATATATGTTACTGGAAACAGATCCTAAATGTGGGAAAAGGATTTCCAAAATGGTTATAGTATCATAGCAGTTATATTTATGAAGTAATTATATATATGTAGAAGAGATATGAACAATGACAGCCAATATTTACTGAGTGCTTAATATACGCCTTGCACTGTTCTAACTACTTCCATTGGCTCAATTTCTTAGACCTCATAAGAAACCTAAGAAGTAGGTTCTATTATCCCCATTCTACAGATACAAAAACACAGGCACAGATTAAGTAAGTTGGCAAAGCAGGGATTTAAACCCAAAGAGCTTCCATATCTAATGTGAATATCTGGAAAAAAAAAAAAGAGGAAGGAAGAAAGGAAGTGTGGAGGAGAAAGGGAAGAGGAGATAGAAGGAGAGAAATATTTAGAGGGAAAGAAGTAAACAGAAAGAATAAATGAACAGTGGATTTCTTTTCAGGAATGTTTTAATTAATTTCTATATTTTTCAATTACTGTATATTTTCTATAATGACCATTTACCACTTTACAATGCTAAAACTTGTATGTCAAAAACTTACTCAGACAATGCTTCCAAAACATCTTTATAAAAGTCTTTTCCTGTTATTTTGAAGTAGATTTTGTCAGCATACTCTGGAGTTAGGAGCATTTCCTTCATCTGGGTGAAAGCAAATCCAGCCTCTTTAATAATTTTCAGGATCTCCTCTAGGAAAAACATAGATGTGAGGAATATGCAGATAATTATTCATTACCTTATTCCTTCAAGTTTTCTGTATTTGGCAAATTTTACAAAACTTAATGAAAATGCATACATTGGCTTTTTAAAAAAAGTGTTTACCTCTTTGTTCACGCGTTACATGAGGTTTAATCAATGCTAAAGTGCTTTGTACAGGAAAGAAATACTCTATTTCCCTTTCAGCCACTTCTGTTGAGTCACTTCCATACAACTGGTTGATGGGCAAACTTCCCATTGCAAACTGTGCACACAAACTTCGGAAAAGAAGTTAAGAAGCTATTATAATATAACGTAACAACATATCATAACTTTTTATGTAAGTTATTTTAAATTATCAAGCATAGCTCATTCCAAGACTACATATTATAGAAAAGAAAATAAATACAGAGAGACTTGGAGATACTGCTTCCTTGCAAGGAGTTAATAGTCATTGAAAAAAGAATGTGAACATTTAAATAATGATAATGGATATTGACAGGCAACTCTGCGATGAGGATTGGGTACTCTGATCGGTGAAAAGCCCGGATTGTAGAAGCCTTGTTCTTTTGGTTGCTAACTATGTGATATTGAGAAATTAGGTAAATTCCCTTTGCTTTGTCTCACATACAGAGATGAAAATAAAATCTGTTTTAGAAGGTGATTTTAAGGATGCAAAAAATGATGTATTTGAAATATACAGTGCTTAGCAATCTCTCAATAAATATTTATTCCCCAGCTTTCACCACTGAATATGATCAATGATAGATAGTTTTTGACTGTATATGAAAGATAATAAATTATAAACTTTGCATCCAGGAAATATCATAATGAAGCCTTTCAGGGGAGCAGGCACAGCGTTTGAAGAGGAACTACGGAAAGAAGTAGGAGGAACGCTGATTGTGCCCGACAGTCCACGTTGGATTAGACTTTCTATTCCGCCTCTGCTGCATTTCCCAGAGACAAATGAAAGATCTCCTAAATCAATTTGTCCTGCTTGTTGTGTTTTCAGTTGTTCTTTTTATCTGTCTATCTACCAATGCAGATTTCAATAGATGATACTCACTGTTCATTCCATTTTCTGCTTAACACCTTCCTGAGCAGCCTGTCCACACAATCCAGCTACAGAGAACATTGCCCCTTCCTGCTAATATCGGTGTGAATCTTGACATCACTGGAAACCTGGATTTCTGTCCTCAGCCTCAAGACCCTCCTCTTGCCTCTCTCTGGTTCCCATGACCATTCAGAGTTCTCTTCTGCCTTATCCTACAGTCAGCCCTTGGCTATTTCCACAACTCTAAGTTGGAGACACTTCCATGCCAAGACCTTTGATACCTATGATTTTTCAGGGATGGGCAATTTGCACAAAGTGAAGAAGACAACCCAAGTCAGTACCAGTGCTTATTCTACTCCATGAAGAGCACTGCACCCAGCTCCTCTGTATGTGGACAACCATGAAACGTGAGGGGAGGGGTGAGGTATGAAGACAAAAGGGATGGAAGGTGTAAGGACATGAGAATGAGGGGTTGTACAAGTGATATTTCAGACATGGTGATGTAGAGTCTAGAAACTGATGCTGAAGCACAGAAAGTGGGAAGCATTCTGTTGGAAGAGTTATTTCTACAATAACATGTAAGACCTGGGGGGAACTAAGGAAACTGGAAAGTGAGCAAACAAAACTGTAGTCAAGAATTTGGCGGGGGTGGGCGGCACTGTGGCTTAGCTGGTAAAGCTGCCACCTGCAGTACTAGCGTCCCACATGGGTGCCAGTTTGTATCCCGGCTGTTCCACTTCCAATCCAGCTCTCTGCTGTGGCCTGGGATAGCAGTAGAAGGTGGCCCAAGTCCTTGGGCCCCTGCCACTGCGCGGGAGACCCGGAAGAAGCTCCTGGCTCCTGGCTTCGGATTGGCGCAGCTCCAGCCCTTGCGGCCAACTGGGGAGTGAACCAGCGGATGGAAGACACCTCTCCCTCTCTCCCTGTGCCTCTCCTTCACTTTCTGTGTAACTCTTTCAAATAAATAAATAAATCTTTTTGAAAAAGAATTTGTGGGAATTCTCACTATAATAGTAGGATGAGGGCATGTAGTCCCTCTGAGTGCCTTCACCTGGAAAAAAAATCTCTGTACCCATGTAAGATTCAATTATAATCTAATCAAAATAAAGCACTTCAATTTGTACATAAATGATGTTTTATTTATACTCTAATTTATTATTTCAACCTGTGTGTCAAGTTTGTTGTGTTTTGTTTTATAGCACATCTTATTCTTTCATAAATAAATGAGGAGAATTTCTTCCCCTGAAACTAATCCTACCATGAATTCAGCACCAAGAAGTCAAGTGAATGACAATTCTCTTTGTTTCCATCAGCTATACATCAAATATGGAGATAGAGGAGACACTAACCTCATCCTTTCGAAGACACCAAACCCAGCAACTAGAACTAAGACAAAGCAAAACTATTGAAAGTGCTACCTGTGATCCAGGTAATAGGCCAAGTGTTGAGTTGGTCACATTTAGCCCCTTCTAAGATTCATTAGTAAACTAACTCAACAACTGTTTCTACCAAATTATAAAGTACATATTCAATTGATCATGATAACCTTGAAACTCTTGTGATCAATTAAATGCCTTGCAGCTTCCATCACAACCCTTCTCAAAGTGATTCCTCCTAAATGATGGGTGGGGTGCATAGGTCTTCCTACATAAGGTCAGTTGGCTGGCTGTCCACTTCTTAATTCCCAGACCAAGCATATGTCAACAATATCTTGCAAAATCAAGACCATCCCCAAGCTAGCTTCAGACTAGATTGCCAGTCGGAAGCAATCTAGTTCTTTCCCAGGAAATGTCCCTTTCTTGAGAAGCTCCCTTGGACCAGAACTTTGGGTCCTGTGCCCCACATCTAAAAAGAATGTAGAATGGATCCTATGAGAAAACTTACAGACTTACAATTTAAATCCTACCTGTCAGGATAATATTCATTGGCTTCTTGAACAGTTTTTGGACCCAGTAACTGTTTCCAGTATTGCAAACCACTGTCTCTCAATAAAACTAGGGCTAGAGATGGACCACTGTTAAAAAATGAAAAGGGTTAATAAAATATGGCTCAGCAGCTAATTATGTACAAATAGTAATACAAATACACAGTGTTAAATACGCTGAATTGTGAAAATAAATCTGTTGGAAGTTTGAAATTATTTTTGTTAGTATAATCTTAAAAGAATATTTATAGAAGATTGGAAGCAGAGAAGAAAAGAAAGATAAGAACTTTTAAAATTTCATTTGTGCAATTACATGACATTTTATTTTAATTTTCACCATCATATACAACCACAATAAATAAATAAATAAAACATGTCACAAAATTGTGAAATTTTGTAGTTAATATTTATAGCTGCACAGATTCATACATATGTATTTTTAAATACCATAGATGTCAACAATTTTACAATGCAACATTATTCATAGAGAAGAATAATTGTTAGATCGAAAATCTTATAATATTCAGTAGTAAGTCACAATTTCTCAATAACATTAACAAAACTAGTGAAGATTTAAAAATAAGTACTAGTCACTCAGTTGATTCTAACTTATATTAACGTTTTAGATTTGAAGCCACAATATCTACAGCACACAGGTCCCTGCGTCCATATATTAATTTCAGTATTGAAGTGCCGAGTGGGGACAGGTACAGATATCTCAGTCACTCCTGATGGAAGACTTCAAAATGCACTGCGAAGACCCTGAGGAAATGTCATGACTGGCACATTGGGACTGAGCAGTTGCACATGATTCAGCCTTAGTCAGCAGATCTCAAGAAACAGGAAACAAGGATATTCTTCAGCTTAAGGTCTTTGTCTTGATTTCCTTCCTCAGAAGGCGTTTCAGAAGCCTCACGGTCAGGATGCACAGGTGTATTAGCAGAGTTCCATCCTAGAGGACTCCGTCTTCATTCTTGCCCAGCCTATCTTTTTCAACAAAACCAGTGATGCCTGCAATGCTCCTTGCTTCTGTCATTGTCTTCTAGGATGCTGCTGTTACATCTGTCACCACCCATCCAACATTTGTCATGTGCTCTTTGGTCTTTTCAGCCACTGTTGCTAAACCCTGAACCACTCGTTCTTGGTTTTGGATCTTACTTTTGCTGTTGCTTCTGCAACACTTTATTTGGGTTTTCAGTAGCAGCCACAACTCCCTTTTTGGCTTTTGGGAGTCTTTTCATGAATCTATCCATGGCTACTGAATTCTTTTACACTGCACTGACTGCATCACTGTACTCAGTCATCACCCCGTACCAGGGACACCTTGTGGTGGAGGTGGAGGTGGAGCTGGAGGTGGAGGTGGAGGTGGAGGTGGAGGACCTCGTTCTTGTAGAACAATTCCTTCATTGTTCTCACATTCCGGCTGTATTTCTGCCTCAGCTTCTATATTCCATTATATACATATGTATATGTATATATACATACATATATGTATATACATATATTTATATACATATGTATATATTCATTCATTAGGGGAGGATAGAGGGAGATTGGAGAACAGGCACCAAAATAGAGTTAGACAGGAGGAATCAGTTCTAGTGTTCTATAGCAGGGTAAGGTGACTCTAATTTACAATAACCCATCATGTACCTTATGAACAACTACAAGAGCAGTATGAAGGTGTAATAGGTGCTTATTATCCTGATTTGATAATCACATTGTATTGAATTATACTTTTAAAGTTCTTGGAAAATTGAATTTAAAGATAATCTTGTTTTAGTGCAAAAATTTTTTGAAGACCACATATATGAGGGGTCTTCAATAAGTCTGTAAAAATGCATAGCATGAAAAAGTTATGCATGGATTTAGTGCATATAATATGTTGAATTATTACCCTGTACCACAAAAGTATGTACAATTACTCATATATGTCAACTAAGAAGTAATAAATAAAATTAAAAATAAATAAATTATACTGTGCTTTCTAAACATGAATTCTACCTTACCTGGTCATGTATTCTATAAGTTGTTCAAAATATTCTTCATTTTCATATCCCTTGCACAGTGTTTGTGCTTCTCTTTCTGATAGTACTATTTGCCTTTCCATCAATATTTTAAAGCCTTCATCTTTAATAATACTCAAAACATCATCTAAATAAAAAGTTACATAAGAAATTTTAAATTGGTGAGTTATGGGTAATACCCACAGCATTAGATAGCATCATGAGTACATATAACCTGTTTCATTCTCATATGAATTTTAAAAGTTTAAAATTTGGTTTCTGAACAATACTTATTAATATATAAAATTATAATGTTGGTTCCAATTATTTATCCCATCTGAATCAAATACACATGAAAATATCTTGGTAAATATTGGCTATATGTGCACATTTGTGCCTCTGTGTGTGTGTGTATGTGTAAGCACAGAGAGTAATCTAAATAACCAATCAATGCAAGCATTCAAATCTTTATAATTTTTGTATTCAATTGCCCTTTTATTATTTGTCCCACTAGAAGAAAAATAAGTTGATAGAATTCCCTTTTGGGGCCGACGCTGCGGTGCAGTGGGTTAACGCCCTGGCCTGAAGTGCCGGCATCCCATATGGGCACTAGTTCGAGACCAGGCTGCTCCACTTCCCATCCAGCTCTCTGCTATGGCCTGGGAATGCAGCGGAGGATGGCCCAAGTCCTTGGGCCCCTGCACCTGCGTGGGAGACCTGAAAGAAGCTCTTGTCTCCTGGCTGCGGGTCGGTGCAGCTCTGACCCTTACAGCCAGCTGGGGAGTGAACCATCGGATGGAGAACCTTTCTCTCTCTCTCTCTCTCTCTCTCTCTCTCTCTCTCTCCCTCTCCCTCTCCTCTCTCTATGTAGCTTTGACTTTCAAATAAATCTTAAAAAAAAGAAAGAATTCCCTTTCACTCTCCTTCTCTCTTGTCTGCTTCTTACTATTAACAGCCTAGAAAATCCAAGTCTTTCTTCTCCATCTCCCCTTATGGATAGCTTGGCAATATGATGCTGACATGATCAGTGGGACCTAAAGGAAATATCAAGGGATGCTCCTGAGAGAGGCAGTCATGGGGAACCTCTGTCCTATCTCGTCTGCGTCTTGCTTTTGGACACTTGAGGGGGCATCAAGGCACACTGGCCATCTTGCAACAGAGAGAGAAACCCAAAGGGCAAACACTGACGGGAGCAGACAGCATCAAGTCCCTGATCAGTGTTAAAAAAAAAATCTAATTTGATAAATAAGCTCTCTCTGTCGGACAGGAAATACACTAGAACTAAGTTAGCAATTGTCAGGGAAGAGTAAAATAAGCAAAGCATCACGCACTGGAATACAGTTTAAGCAGTAATGTGCTTTAGAACCAGCTGAAGACAAAAAGGAAGAAAACAGACAAGAAGAATAAGAATACATAGTTCTTGAAATTCACAAAAGTAGAATCATTTCAGCGAGTTCATACTTCATACTTGAAAAATTTGTGGAAAAGGGTATGAAAAGATAAGGAACATTAAATGTAAAGTCCTAGTGGCTTAGAACAACAGATACGCTTACTGCTTTTGACCCCTGTCCATAATTCAGCTTCAGAGATGGCTCTCTCCTTTATGAACATTCGCTAGGCTTTCACAGGCCCCACCTTCTATTGTAACATGGGTTTTTTATTCCCTTAACTCACAATTGACACACAGCGCTTCCTCCTATAGTCCACTGGCCAATGCTCATCACATGACACCTTTCCAATGCAAAGGACTGAAGAGTACCATCTCCTATTCACCCAGACTGCGGGGAATGAGGTTTGTGTGGGAAAGAAGAATGGCACTGTCTTCTGTGGCACCAGTCTCAGCATGTGTAGGTGCTTTCTCAGCATCATATTTCCAATATCTATGACAGTATCATTGGCCAAAGGGTAAGTGCTCAATTAGTATGTTTGCATAAACATACTATAAGCGTGAAACAACTAAAAATTTGAATGGGTGAATTGTATAAAAAGGAAAGTATATCTCTAAAAAGATGCTATAGGGGTTGGCGCTGTGGTGTAGCCGGTAAAGACACCACCTGAAGTGCTGGTATCCCATTTGGGTGCTGGTTCAAGTCCCGGCTGCCCCACTTCTGATCCAACTCTCTGCTGTGGCCTGGGAAGGCAGTGGAAGATGGCCCAAGTCCTTGGGTCCCTGCACCTGCATGGGAGACCCAGAAGAAGCTCCTGGCTCCTAGATTCCCATCAGCATAGCTCCAGCCTTTGCGGCCATTTGGGGAGTGAACCAGTAGATGGAAGACCTCTCTCTCTCTCTCTGCCTCTCCTCTCTGTGTAACTCTGACTTTCAAATAAATAAATAAATATTTTTTAAAAAAAGATGCTATAAAATCATTAGAAAATGAAATAAGCCAGATAAATATTACATGCCTTCTCTTATTTGTGGTAGTCAAATTATAGAGTATAGAAATTGTATAGATGTTATAAATATTGCTTCACTGACTCATACCATGTAAATGACAATATACTCTTCTTTCTCACATTTACAGAAAAAGGAGAGGGAAAGAGTAGTGAGGACTCTTAGAGTACTAGCAATGATTTGTTCTTAACTTGAGCATTGGTTTTGAATGTGATCAGAGGGAAAAACATTCATCTGTATACTTATTTGCATTTCCTACTCTTACACTGTATTTCAATAAAACATTTTTTATTAGAAACACAAATCATTAGAAACACAAATTAGAAAAGTGTTACAAGTAGACTGGTGAATTTGAATAGATAAAATTTAAATTCAAAAGCATCACTAAGGCAAAATATTAAATGTACCAAAAACGACAAGATCAGGGCCCTTAAAGTACAGAAAAAAACTTGTTCAAAACAATGAGAAAGAAACTAAATCCTGAGTAATAGGACTTTTTTTAAGCAAACTCTAAGATAAAAGTGATTTCATATTACATGGAAGGATATTCAACTTCACCTGTAATTATTTAACATTTAAATTTTAAACAAAATATTTTATTTTCTGGGGTTGGTGTTGAGGCATAGCCAGTAAAGCCATTCCTGCGACACCTGTATCCATCCTCTGCCTTTCAAATAAATAAATATATCTTTTTCAAAAAATTTCATTTTACAACTAAATTGCTAATGATTTAGAAAATAAAATTACTGATTACTAACAATGCTGTGATAAGATATGTACTGTCAGTATCTCACAGTGAGAGGACATGGGGAGTAATTTAATGCAGTTTCAGAAGGCAAAGCAGTGTGGTGGGAGACACACAGCCCTGACAATCTCACTTGTAGGAAGAGATTCCAGATACCTAGTCAAAGACATTTGACTTTGTTTTGATTTTTTTTCTCCTGTCTTTGCCATGTCTTAGCAGGTGTTACAGCATTAATTCTGAGCATGAAACCTTGAAGACAAACTTAAATGGCTGACACTAAGGAAGAGATGGCTGTGTAATAGCCTAAGATAATGTATAACTTTACTATTTATGAACATTCATATCTTATTCTAGAAAACTATTTAAATACGTGAATAAATACTGAAGATATATGCAAAACTACAAAAGGCAGTATACTAAACTTTATATATATGCACATATGAGGGATGCTTAAAGACATGTGCATTATTTTTTAGTTTAATTTTCCATGAACTTAAAAAATACTCTCATATATGTAAAATCTAGACATGAATATATCCTAATATTGTAGAAATTATGATTTCTCTTATATTTATCTGTTTTCCAAATGTTACTCAGTAATAATATTTTATTATTGTTAATAAAATGTCACTTAAATTCTTTTTGAAAAATATTTATGACGACTTTCAGTAACACAGAAATTATTTATTTTCAATTTTATTAGAAACTAAAGCAAGATGCAAAATTGCGTAAACAATGTCATCCAACTTATTGTAATTAATTAATACATAAATTGTTTTTTTTATTTTTTTTAACTTTTATTTAATGAATATAAATTTCCAAAGTACGACTTATGGATTACAATGGCTTCCCCCCAATCCCGTCCCTCCCACCCACAACCTTCCGCTTTCCCACTCCCCCTCCCCTTCCATTCACATCAAGATTCATTTTCGATTATCTTAATATACAGAAGATCAGCTTAGTATACATTAAGTAAGGATTTCAACAGTTTGCTCCCACACAGAAACATAAAGTGAAAAATAATAGATGATTTTTTTAAATGATGATGAAATCAGATCAGACCTATTGTCATGTTTAATCCCAGTGAGAGTCAAGTTGGGAATTGACAATTTCTTCTTCTTCTTCTTTTTTTTTTTTTTACAGAAGATCTGTTTAGTATGCATTAAGTAAAGATTTTAACAGTTTGCACCCCCATAGAAACACAAAGTGAAATATATTGTTTGAGTACTTGCTATAGCATTAAGTCTCAATGTACAGCACATTAAGGACAGAGATCCTACATGAGGAGTAAGTGCACAGTGACTCCTGTTGTTGACTTTACAAATTGTCACTCCTGTCTATGGCATCAGTAATCTCCCTATGCTCCAGTCATGAGTTTCCAAGGCTATGGAAGCCCTCTGAGTTCTCCGACTCTTATCTTGTTTAGACAAGGTCATAGTCAAAGTGGAGGTTCTCTCCTCCCTTCAGAGAAAGGTACCTCCTTCTTTGAAGACCTGTTCTTTCCGCTGGGATCTCACTCACAGAGATCTTTTTGCCAGAGTGTCTTGGCTTTCCATGCCTGAAATACTCTCATGGGCTTTTCAGCCAGATCCGAGTGCCTTTAGGGCTGATTCTGAGGCCAGAGTGCTATTTAGGACATCTGCCATTCTATGAGTCTGCTGAGTATCTCGCTTCCCATGTTGGATCACTCTCCCCTTTATTTATTCTATCGGTCAGTGTTAGCAGGTACTAGACTTGTTTATGTGCTCCCTTTGACTCTTAGTCCTTTCATTATGATCAATTGTGAACTGAAATTGATCACTTGGAATAGTGAGATGGCATTGGTACATGCCACCTTGATGGGATTGAATTGGAATCCCCTGGTATGTTTCTAACTCTACCATTTGGGGCAAGTCAGCTTGAGCATGTCCCAAATTATACATCTCTTCCCTCTCTTATTCCCACTCTTATGTTTAACAGGGGTCACATTTCAGTTAATTTTCAACACTTAAGAATAACTGTGTGATAATTA